TTATTTAATTTGATTTTTTTAAAATTTTATTTTATTTTTTTATTTAATTTTTTTTCCCCCATAACTGTACTTTGATGCTTAAGTACATTTTCTCCCTCAAGAGAATTTGCTTAAAATGGATATTGGTATTCAACAAGTAACTATTCAACCACTTTCATAAATTAAACACTGCTAAATAATGATAACAAAATTTTGAATTCGTATAGTATTTTTCAATTCAGAAAGACCATCAAGATAGTGCATTCTTTCAGACAGTATCAAATGAGTTCTGCGTTTTCAAAACATGCAGTTATTTCTTTGAATTTTTAGGGGTTTTTATTTTACTTGTAACTTCCAAGGAAACATTAAACCTCTTGCCAGAGGGCTGCAATGTATTGCTTTCTTCATGAGAAACTAAATGTTACTTAGTCGACTGGATTAGCCTTATTTTGAAAATTAATTTCCACATGACGTTGTGACCAAAACAGTTGCAAGATTTCAAAATTATCCATATCAAAAGGAAATCATTAATCTGGAAATATTTTTTTTTTTCTTTGGTTTACTGTTTTATTACTATAGCTTTGTCTGTTCCTAAAACTTTGCCTACTTTTTTTTTTTTTTCACCCCCTTGTAGCCTTTTGGTGTTAATCAGCCTGGTCCTTACATCATGTACACTACTGTAGATGCAAATGGATACCTGAAAAATGGGTCAGGTAAGAAAACCTCATAACGAGAATTCACATGGCATGGTCGGTCTGTATATACTTCTGAGCAACCTAAAGCATTGGAAAGAAGTCTACAGAGTAAAATGGGACTGGTTTTGAATAGTGTCTTAGTTTACAAGGCCAGAAGCACCTAACCTTCTCTTCTTTCTTTACAGATTGCATATTTATTACAAACAGTGCAACTGCATTCTTTTTTCCTTTCTTCTGTCCCATGCAAATTGGGTTTGAACAGTTGGCTGTATCTTGCCCAATCTGAAAAATTGTTGGGTACGATATCATCAGTTTGTGAAATAGCATAAGCTTTTAATAATTTACTTTTTCTACCAGTTCCTTAGCAATTATGAGTAAGATACAACAGTGGCCTCAAAATACCTAAATAGAATCTTGTAGCCACATGAAAAATGATCAACATAATATTCAGTAAACACAGGATGTATTTTTCTGGAGTTGCTCACTACGTCTGGCAGGCTAACAGGCATCTATAAAATCATGAGTAGCATGAGGAAGATAGAGAGGGAATGGCTGCATTCTTTCACGTAATACAAGAACTACAAGGTGTCAAAGAATCGTTAGGTAACAGGGTCAAAATAAATGGAAAGCAGCAATGCTTCATGCAACTTGTAGCTTAACGAGAGGTTTAATCACATGAGATGTTGCAGACACCACAGTTTACATGAGTCCAAAAATAAAGCAGACAAAAAAAGAATAATCCATTAGGCCATGGTCCAAGCAGTGCCTAATGTTAGAAGAATATCCTGGGTTTTATGCTGCCTTCCTAGGTGCGTACTAGTGGCTCCTAGAAGACACAGGTGACTGTACTAGGTGGTCTATTAGTCTAATTTATGACTGTTAATCTTATGGCCATGACCTCATAATGGATGTACTATTTAGGAAAAAAATACCACACTTGCAAGCCAAAACAGGATCAGAGTATGCATGTCTGTAACGTGTGCCATTCTGACTCCTTCCCAATGGTGGCAGTTGTCTGCATCTGTCATTCAAGTCTTATTTCAAATTAAACTCAAATTTTTAAAAAAAGTTTCCCATAGTTCGCTGGGAAAACTGTATTCTGTATAACATTAATTTAAATAATAGCAGTAATTTAGGGGGAAAAATGCTGACATGTTAGTCCTAAATCAATGATAATGCTCTCACCTTGAATACTGTGCTCAGGACTGTTAATTCCACCCTAGAAAAAATAAACAGAAAGAAGATGTCCTGAAATACGAACCAAATAGCTGCAAAAACATCCTGATACTCTGTAGCACTTCTGTACTTGTGCGTGCTTAAATATGGGTTTAAAAGCTTCAAAGTACTAGCCTACATTTTAATCAAACTAATAATTAATGCTAACATGAAAATGCAGAGTATTTTTTCTAATCGTTGCACAAATTCATTTTAACAAACTAATTGTCCTGCCAGTTGTACACGCAGCTTCATCGCTCTGAAGGTTTTCTTCGTAAGCTAAATTTAAAAAGAGCTTGCATATTTAGTTAGAAGCACTTAAAACCCAATGATGAGTTTAGAGATTTTTATTTACACTACACGTTGTTAGACTGTCCGACCCATGCACTTAGGCAGCCAGTTCTGGCTGGGTAACAACTGGCGTATCTCGTTATTGCCAATTACCAAGATGAAGGCTTGCAAGCTTTGTCAGAGCCAAGTCAGAGTACAGCCTATCTTGTTAACCATATCACAAAATACTGGAAAAGGCCTAGGTAGGATCTTTCTGCTTATCCCTCAAAAGTCTGGATTCCTGTGGATGGGAAACTTGCTTCAGTATGCGGTCTTTTTGGTTATTTGTGGTCCCTAATAACTTTTGAATCTACTAGCTTACTTAAGCCAGTTTTAACTGGAGCATACATGCCTCAAATAAAACTCTGCCAGTTCTGGCAAAAGCAGCACTTTGGTAGAAGATAAAATTCCACATAAGAAAAAGACTTCAGTTAGAGATAACAGTTATTTGGTCTGGTTTCGTCCTCAGGCTGGCCATGTGGTCAGCACGCGTGCAGTTGCAATTAGCCATAGCCTGAAATGTTCTTGCCCAAGCAGTAACGAAAGAGCACAGCAGAAGAAAGCTTAGTGTGCTGTGGAGGGTTTATGGGGAAATAGAAGATAAGGCGAAAAGATGTTGCAGGTTCCATCCAGGAAGTAGGGCTGCTTGCAAAGACATGCTGGATTCATATTCATACAAACACAGACATCCTTAGTTTCACAGTTTCTATCCCATTTTTTAAGGCATTTTGCCTCAGGACAGGTGTCTTGGAGATTCCTACTGTGTTGCCCGTATTACTTTAACCCACAGTAGGAGTGCCTTTTCTGTTCTGTTCTTATTGATGACTGGGTATCTTGGGGTTTTGTCCTTTTTTTGCTTCCATGTTGCATATTGGCTTTAGAGTTGAGTTTCTGATAGGATACCGGTAAGACACACACTGTTAAATACAAGCAATTTTGTTGTACCTACTCCTTTTTTAAAAGACATACGAGTACTTGTTTTTCAAAACAACAAAAGCATGGACAGTTTGGAATGCACTTCATATCTTAGTAAGGAGTACTAAGTCTTCTACTTTCACAGATTTGTGTAATAAAGATTGGAGTTCATTAATCTCTCCTTATGCTGTTAACTACTTGCAGTTGATCGTTGCCCCTCTGTACCCTTGGGGGTTATCTTGGAATACGGACCTATTGATAAAGCTTCTTCCTGAGAGCTGCTGTCAGAGTTACTGGAAATTACTGTAATTTCTACATTACAAAATTCCTTCCCAACCTGCCACTAGTAGTTGAGTGCGCTCATTGGGTGAGCATGCATCTAAATGAAGACATCAGTGGGTTTAAAGTAGTGTAATGTATTTATTCCTTCAGGCTCACTGGGACTTAATGCAGGTCTGCCTAAATTTGGTGCACCCATGTGAATATAGAGTAGCTTAATGAAAACACAGCTTCATAGTTCCTTTGGCCATGTGACTTGTGAATAGATACCTACACACAATCTTATCATTGGAGAATCAGGAGTACTGATAAATAACTCTGTTTGCCTAAGTAACAGAAAAGATGATTTTTGCCTAAGAAACGAAACACATTAGTAAAACCATCAAACTGACCCTTTTTTTCTTCTTTAGGAAAGTGCTATAAAATGGCTATAAATCAAAAAACAACGTAACCTTTGCTTAGATTAATTATACTCGGTTAGCTGCATTGTTCATGTAGTCAGAGAGGTTTTTAACTCTTGCTACTTACCTGTAATTACCACAATCTCAGACTTAGAAATCTGATGTTTTAAGGGAACTCATACAGCGCACTCTAAAAAATCATGTCTAACAGGTATTAGAATCTGTATTATAAGAGTCTTAAAAATATAAAATATCTGGTATATAAATAGCAACTGTAGAGGACTGAAACTTGGCATATCTGATATATTATATGCTGCTTTTTAAAATAGATTTGATTTTTATAAATTGACATCATTTTAATTGGAAGATGACAAAATAACGGATTTGTGGGATCTCAAGTGCAGAATATCTATTAAAAGGGTAATTCACAGCAGTATATACTGATTCTAAACCCCACTTTGAGGAAATACAAGTTTAGATGGGTTTGGTTTGTGTATGTTTGACCTGTTGGCACTTACTACTTAAGCAAGCTTATAAAATAACCCAGTGGCAAAAATAAAAGATGTTCTTCCAACTACAGACCTCTGTGTCATGGAAGAATGCACATAGCTTACAAATTCCTTATATCTGTGGGGAATAAAGCTAGCTTAGAATTTGGACCTATTTCATGTATCATCATATTAAATTTTTTTTTCCTGGTTTTCTCTTCCAAGAACAAAAACAAATACATTTTTCTTAAACATTATCTTTAGGGTTTGGTGAGTGTGGTGGTTGGGGGGGGCAGTGCTTTTAGAAATGCAATGTTTTTACAATTTACTCTAAGAAACAGCTATCAAATATGATTTAAGACTGCTATAGTACCATTCACCTTCACTGCTACCATATTTACAATAATAAAAACCTAACAGAGTCCAATCATGATGAATTTCCTTTTCTGTTTTGGCATTATGAAATAACAGTAATGAATTCCAAGTGCATTTATGACCCTAGGAGTATTGCTACAGGGAATTTTATAATACTGTCTTTGATCAGTTTCTCAACAGTAATATGTTAATAGATTTTTTTTTTTTCTGAGTCTGTATAATTCCTGCAAGAACTTTTCAAAGTCATGTATTTGGAAGCTATTACATTAAGTTTGTAGCTAAACTTTCTTCTTTGACAAGTCCTAGTCATAAAATTCAGTAAACATTCTAACTAGAATTACTGGCTTACAGGTTATTATCTTGAAAAACAGTCTGTTACATCAGTGTCGTATTCTATTTGACTATCAAGAAATACCTCAAGCAACACTTTTATATATGTGTACTGGTGGGCAATACCAAACCCAGATGGCATTTTTGGGGCATGTATAAACCTACAAAGCATCTTTTCCACATTAAGCTTTTAAAAGTAAGGCATCAATATACTATTTTAAAACTAATTTGCATCAACTTACTTGCGTTCCTTATATCATGGAACAATCTATATTTGAAGGTTTCAATTACATGAAAGCAATAATGAGAGAAGCTGATAGTTTGTAATCATATTTTTAAAATAATTTAATCACATTTTTAAAATAATTCATCTCTTTCCCAAGAGGTAACGTGAGTAACAACATAGTTCTTTTTCTAATGAAAGCAACGCTCCCCATTCCTCCCGCCGCTCCCCAGGGCAGCTGATGCCGTTTGTTGTCTTTGCCACCGGTGTTAGCAGGGGAACAGTTACTGGCTGGACCGCTGAAACCAAACGATCCAGTCACCTTAAGTTATCCTTCCAGCTCCGGGCTAAAGTGACCCATACAGCACTCGAAGAAATGTCCACCATTCTGCTTCTGATCTTCCTAATTCTGCAGGTCTTTAGTTCTGAATTACGGTATCTTTCATGTATGCAATATTCATG